TCTGGACACTCAACTCCCTCCAGCTCTGGGACCTCAGTGCCTCCCCCACTAGTCTTCTTACATCATTAAAGTCCACCCTCCTGAAGTCGAGGATTGCTGCCTTGCTGGAGGCTTTCACCACCTTGCGCTGGATGGTGAATTCTAGCAGATGATGATCGCTATCGCCTAGGTGGTCGAGCACCTGCAGACCCTGTACCAGGACATCACCTGTGGTCAGGACCAAATCCAACAAGGCGTCTCCCCTGGTGGGGTTGTGTACCTCCTGGGTTAGATGGAAGTCCTATATGTCGGTTAAGAACCTGCGTGAGCAGTCGGACCTGGCTGTCTGCTCCTCCCAGCAGATGTCTGGCAAGTTCAGGTCACCCATGACGACCACATCCTTGGACCTAATTATCTCTGTGAGCTGACTTAAGAATTCCTGGTCTCAAACTTCTCCTTGGTTGGGTGGTCTGTAGTAGACTCCCACCGTTAAGTTCCTTTCTCCCCGACCCCCTTGTACTCTAACCCAGAGCACTTCCGTTTGCTCCTCCTCTGACCCAGTAATACACATTGTGGATGTGTATTGCTCCTTGACAGAGCGTCACACCCCCACCCTTCCTACCTGTCCTGTCTTTCTTGTAGAGCCTGTAGCCCTTGATATTCACTGCCAAGTCATGTGTTTGATCCCACCACGTTTCGGTGAGCCCCACTATGTCTGGGTTGGTGCTGGCTAGCAGGAAGACTAGTTCCTCCTACTTGTTCCCCATGCTGCAGGCATTAGTATAGAGGCATGTAAGGCCTCCTGAGGATGAATGGACTGCCCCCCTTATCCCAGCGGTACCCAGGCCTATGTCACTTACCTGATTACCTGTTTCTCTTGTCATCTGTTTAGGCTGGGCTGCTCCTACAGGCAATGCTTGGCTTGCTTGTCTGAGGCTTCCCCCTCCCCCAATGAGCCTAGTTTAAAGCCCGCCGGAGGAGATCTGCCAACCTAGAAGAGAAAACATGCTTACCTTTGGGGGAAAGATGCAGCCCATCCCATTCGAGCATGCCCCTCGTCGTGATGTATGGATCATTATCCAGGAAGCCAAAGCCTGGCTCGAAACACCAATTCCGAAATCTGAAGTTGACCTTGCCAATGCAGGTCTCTTGCCTCCTTCCACGTCCGCTCACTGGTAGGATGGAGGAGAACACCACCTGCACCCCTATCTCCTTCAACAGACCCCCTAGTGCCTGGTAGTCTGCCATCAGGTGATCGGGGCTTCTCCTGGCCGCATCATTCGTACCCACATGGATAAGGACCATGAGGTAGAAGTCTATGGGACGGATAATGGCTGGGAGCATCCCCGTCACGTTCTCGATCTTGGTGCCGGGCAGACAGTAGACCTCACGCGAGGGGTCCTGGTGGCAGATGGGACCCTCTGTACCTCTCAGGATTCAGTCCCCTATGACGATCACCTGACAGTTGTTCCTCCGGGTCGGCTTAGCACTTTCAGTCTGGTTGGGGCACGAGGAATGTGAAGTGTCCTCCTCTCCAATTATTTCTTCCCCTCTCTCCTCCTGTAATGTCGCCAGGGCCTCGTACCTGTTCCGCAGCTGAACTGGGAAGACTGGTACCGGACTGCTGCGAGCAGCCCTTGCCCTGGGGGGAACTGTCCGCCACTCCATCGGGGATGGTGCCTCCCAGGGTGCTGCTCCCTTTGGCGCGTCTCCCTTAGGTGCTTGGCCCTGCAGGGAGAGAAAGTACCAGTCAATCTCATCCTCTGCCTCTCTAACTAACCTTCAAATTAAACATGGCTGTAGCAACTTGCATATAGTACCCATACATTTAGTTCATCCAGAATTGATGCATATTACCTTTTTTAAACTGCTGCAAGTTTTAGCACAGGTAATTCATAAACATGCTTTTAAGTATTATGTTGACATCTGCTTTTATTTGGTACAAACTATACATGCATTAGTCCAAAAACAAAAGGCTCAAGATTTACTGTATGGGCCCCAGTGGCTGGGCTAGTCAACAGCATTTCAAACTATGGTGACCCCACAGTGCAGCACTGCTCAGTATGCGTGTACCCTCCAGATACCCCTCACAAATGATCCGTGTGCGAATTAACCCCCACTCATAATTGGAACTGGGTGTTCTTGTTACGAGTCCTGAGATCCTCCAAAATTGATATGCAGTTAAGGTGCAAGGCAACCTTGCCCAGCTCCATCTTGCGGAGGGTGGGGCCACAGTAATCATGTGGGATACGGTGAGAGAGGGGATGACAGAGGGATTCTGGGTGGACTATTTGGGACCCCATTTGGTGATGTTTGCCAAGCATTTAAGGCTGATGAAGAAACAGATTGGAAATGGGAAAGAAAGCTCTGCTGTGGGAGTGAAGAGGAAGTAAAAATATGTTCAATGCAGTGTCTCACCATGATTTGAAAAAGTCAGTGGTGAGGGGGGCTGTGCTTAATGTGTACTACCATAAATCTTATTAAAATGAGCTGCACTATCCTTATGGTAGGTTCCCATCCACAGATTTTCCCAGTGTGGACCATGTGGCTTATATCCATGCTCACTGTTAGATGCATTTAATCAACTTCATAGTTGGTTTCTACTACTGAGCACAAGCTGCTTTTGGCAGCAATTTAATTATGGGCAATGTATTTAGTTAGGTTTCCTTGTATGTGATTTATAATATGAGGGGTGTTTTCCCCCATGCCAGTTGCTCAAAAATCTACCACCATTACTGAGGCAGTTGGGATCCTCAATTCAGGAGATAGGACTGGGAATGCAGGACCTCTATTTTCCAATTTAATTATTCAATAAGAATTTTTTACTGTACTTCTAGATGTTTTAACCACTTGTTTTCTTAGGACTGTCTCTTGCTTTTTCATGTCTGGTTCAGCTAGTGATTTTGTATATTTATTTATAGCCCACTACTCTTATATTAGAAAAAAAGTCTTGCCATCCTCTATTAGTTTGGAAGTTAGAGTAAAATCTTTGGCTTCCTCCTTCTGCTTTCTCTGTGGCAGGTTAGGTTGCTCTTAGTGTTTCGGGATGTTGTGCCTAGTAGTTGTGTAAGAGAGTTTTTCTTGTAATTTTTAAGAATAGGTTAAACATACACTTGTCTTGGATGATTTAGATAGGGTCAATACTGCCTTGATGAGAAGATGTCCTGGATTAGATGTCCTGAGGTACATTCCAATTTTTTTCCTTTGCTTCTATAAGTAATTTTTTTTCATGAGGCTGTAGGAGATCTCAAAAGATGAAACATTATTATGCTGCTGTTCTTGCTATGTTTTAAATTTAATTTTTTAGCCTCTTTCCATTTCAAAACACTATCTCTTGCATTTAAAATAATTAAAAATATTCTTTACTGAAAGCAGTAATCCATCACCAGCTGCATGCAAAGTAAAGTTTAATTATTGTTACGTTTTTGTTTAGTCTTTCACAAAAAGGGAACCATTAAGAAATTACACAGCATGTTTCATCTTAACCCTTTACATTAGCTGTGCTACAGACACAGCTTTCCTCTTCCAAATATGGGGCGTTTTTGCTTGCCTGGTTAATGTTCTTTGGATAGAGAATGTCATTTAAAGGCATATGACTATATGAGGGAGTGAGGTAATGTTAGGTACTTGGACAAGACTAAGCCTTACAAAAAGCTATTACAATTTTGTTCAGATTTCACAAAAGAATGTATACTAAAAACTAGGGGTGCGCTGATAGGGAATTTTTGGGCTGATACTGATGGCCGATTTTTAACGAGCCACATCAACTGATACTTATCCAATTGCCGATTTATGCAGCTGGGCAGCATGGAAAGCAACACGTGGCTGGTAAGTCTGTTGTGGAGGAAGAGGTGAGGGGGCAGGGAAGGGGCATGGTGGTGTAGATTGAGGCCCCCATAGGGAGGGAGCGAGGCTGGGGCAGGGGCAGCTGCTGCACAGCATGATGGGCAGAGCATCCAGGGGCATGGGGGGATGGATCCCACTACTGTACAAACCCCAAGAGGGTATGGGGGTGGTGCCCTCTGGATCTGTGCACAGGGCAGGGGCAGGCTGCTGCTGTGAACTGGGGCTGGGGGTAGCACTGGCCTCTTCCTGGTGGGGGGCTGGGCTGCGCTCAGGGTGGCCAGCGGCGGCGCTGGAAGGGGGCTTTCGGGGGGAGCTGCACCACCTCAAAATTCATCATAGCCCTCACAGTGCTGCTAGCACCCACAGCCCAACCCCGTCCCCCATGGAGAGGAGCCAAGTGCCGACCCCAGCCCGAGCCCGTGCTGGCAGTCTGCCTGCATCCTGCACATAAATCCAGGGACACATGCCCCCCATGTCCTCCTGGGGTGTGTGCGGTGGCGGGAGCTGCCCCCCCAACACTCCTTGACGACCCCCTCGCAGCTCTGTACCATGTCCTGACCCAGCTGTGCAGCCCATGCCTCTTCCCCTGCCCTACTCCCTTCCTCGCTGTGGGGGCCTTGATCTGCCCCCCCACACTCCTTCCCTCACAACAGACTTGACAGTCGGACCTGGCTGCTCTCCACACTGCCAGGCTGCACTCCTGGCCACCTGCATGTTGTGCTGTGTCTGTGCGCATTCATGTGGGCATTATGGCCCACATCACCCAAAAAAAGCCAACTGCCGATGCAGTCAATTTTCCTTTATAACAGTGCCAATCTGATATGAGACCAATGTATTGGTGCACCTGTACTAAAAACCTATTTCGTTGGATTTCAAGCATATTTAGTAAGGTTAAAAAAAAAATTATATATATATTAAACAGTTAAAATGGAGGTTCACATTGGATTAATCATCTCAAAATACTTTAAGCCTAATTTGTTCCATCTTCAAATGACTAAAGCAATGATCCTTTACAATATATAAAAATGAAACTTTCTATACAAAGTCAGTAACAAATGTTGTTAAAAATATTCATTCAGTATTCTACTCGATATAGAATACAGCTTTTTTACTAGACAGAGTATGCATTACAACAGGAAACTTGTCCTCTGTTCATAACCTAACTGTCATTTTAGCTGGGAAGTTTTGAGGTTCCTTCTTTCCAACTTGAGATCATGGATAGAAGAATATAGCTTTGATGGCTTCCGTTTCGATGGTATTACATCTATGCTATACCACAATCATGGAATTGGTAAGTAAACTTAGCTCTGTCTTTTTGTCTTGCTATCATACTGTTGTGGAAAAAGTAAAATACCAAAAAATATCAATGAGTAGTTCAGAACCATATATTGTAACGTTTTAAAATTGTCAATTTGCTAACTCCTTGCTATGTTGTGATTAAATGTATTACTGAAAATGGAAAATAAAATTGCTGGTGGTGCTGTGAAATAGCATATATCAAAACTACTTGTAAGTAAAATTTTCTGAATTTGGTACCTTTTAAATTTCTTATCTTATTAGGTGAATCTTTCAGTGGAGATTACCACGAATATTTTGGTCTACATGTAGATGAAGATGCTCTGGTTTATCTAATGTTGGCCAACCACATGATCAAGTTTTTGCATCCCAGATGTCTAACCATAGCTGAGGTAATATTGGAACCTTTCCTAATACTTAAGAACTTTAGTTACTTGGTCTGTGCATGTTTGCTTATAATATCAGTAAATAAGTAGTAATAAATGTTATTCTTAATTGCCACTTCGTATCCTTCAACATTAATAAGGTGTGTTTGGAATTCATAAAATCATAGAGCATTAGGGTTGGAATGGTCCTCAGCAGGTCATTTAGTCCAACCCCCTGCTCAAAGCAGGACCACTTCCAACTGGATCATATCAGTCAAGGCTTTGTCTAGCTGGGTCTTAAAAACTTCTAAGGATGGAGATTTCACAACCTCTCTGGGTAACCTGTTCCAGTGCTTTACTACCCTCCTAGAATTCATGTTCCCTGCTAATTATTAGTTATATTTCAGTTATTGAACAAAACATGCAAGTAAATAAACACTAGTTAATAGACGGGCTTCTCCTTTATGAAATCATCTTCAGGAAAAAATACATTCATGATGTGTTTAATTTATATAAGCTTTGGGTTGTCATTTAGCTTTTATGAAGTTTGTTTGTTTGTTTGTTTGTTTGGGTGTACCTTGATTGTCTGTTTACACTGTGTTGGACAAATGTCACTACTGTTTGGTATTGAAGGTTCATGATGTAACAGCTCCCAAGGAATTATGAGCTGATGTAATTAAATACATGTATACTTGATGATCCTTCTATGTAATAAGTCTTATATATTATGAGCTTTGTTAAATGTTTATGCTAATTTAAAGGTAACATTTTTTTTTTCCTGAGGCCTGTAAGTAGGTTTTATTATTGAAATTGGCTGAAGCCAGTGAAAATTGGTTTCGGGTACAAAGGATTATTGTTGGCATGCAGGATTAATAATAGTAATATCAAAGTCCAAAGCAGTAAGCTTTCATGAATAGACTGTTGGGGTATGTTTCATAGAACTGTTTCGTATATAAAAAGAAAATCTCACACAGTATTTTTCTTCAGATTTCTTGGTGAATGCATTATATTATTAAATGATGCATAAGTGACTGATTCATTTTATTTTAAAAATGTCACGTAGTTGATAAATTACTGGAGAATGTGCAGGTCATTTTTTTTTAATAATCCAAAATAACATCTAATGTTGAAATGTTGGCCTTCAGAAGACAAATAATGCTAATTTCATCTGTTGTATATGGCAAATTAATAGGCAACAGCTATATGTGCCAAAGTGCTCTTAAGAGCTTAATGATATCAGGTATTAAAAATAGCAACTGATGAGGAGAAGCAGTTATTTGATGCATAAAACTTATGGCTATATTGATCTTCAAGTTCATTTAAAATAAAATTGGTTCATCATCTAGGGAGCTACAGTCTGATTATCATTATTCCTACCGATGAAACTTTAAATTCAGCCTGCTTGTATTACCTAGTTTAAGACTCCTTTTTAACAAGATGTGTCTTCAATTTATCCTGCTTAAACTGAAAACTACTTCAATTTCAATACATCATTTTTCTGTCTAGGGGAAACCTCTGTACAAAATGTGGAATTGATCCACATGCCTCATAGTAAAATAAATTTAGGAGGGAGGAACTATTGATATAATTTAAAACTACAAATGGCTAGCATGATTTTGTGCTTCCCATAATGACAACAGAATGAGTCCCACATGAGAAAAGGTTTTGTCTAGACTGTGACAGATGGTAGTATAATCCTTAAAAAATTGTCTGATTATTTAAAGTAACAGATCTTAGTGTTCTGCGTAGGTGTGTTTTAGTAATTTCTATGCTCAATGTATTGTTCAGTCTTGAGATTCCCAATAAACTTGTGGCACTGGCCTGATGCATTGGATTGCCCTCTGTTCTTTGTTCCATACTGTTGGGAAAGACATAAGCACTACTTTTGACTTTACATATAAAGCAAGGATAAAATGCTTTGTGTAGTCATGAGAGTACATGCCGATTAACTAGAACTGCATCATGTATTTAAGGTAAACATTTGGTTTTCTGCCCTCACTTTTTCTCCTAAAAGCTAAAGGAAAATGCATTTAGTTGTTTTTAAGTGGGGAAGGATGTCTCCATACTGTTTTAGGCTTTGTTGTAAAAGGTCAAACTGTACATATAAAATACATTTGTGTATGTAAAATTAAAATAACAAATCCCTCTGACCATAGGAAGCTCATGCAAGATGTTCTGCACTACTACATCCCATTTGACTCTTGCTAGTAGGGCCTAAATTTAAAAGGGCCCGCCGACCGGGGAAAAAAGCCCAGTTAGGCTCGGAAGCGGCGAGAGACGCGCGGGTGAAAGCTCGCCGCTCCCCCGAAGCCCCCCAGAAGCCCCCCAAAACCCTCCAGCAGCCACGGAGCCCCCCGCCAACCCCCAGCACAGCCGGGGTAAGTGGGGCCCGTGGAGAGAGGGGGCTAACCCCTTAGTGTGTGTGTGGGAGGAGGCGGCTGAGTGGAGCCGGGCTGGGTCAAGCCCCGCCCAGGCCCCTACTTGGCCCAGCCCCCCAGGGAGCCACGCAAACAGGCTGTGCAAACAGGTGCGCTTCTCTGCCAGCGCGTGAGTTAGCGCGGAGTTCGCACGGGAGGACGCACGGGAGGGCCCAGGGCCCTGCCAGCGCGCCCCCCAGGGTAGACAGCCCCAGCCGTAGCCAGCCTACCAGAGGCATGACACGGATGGGCACGCAC